AAACTTCCTCAAAATGCCATGATATATACATGCATGCATGGTTTGAGTTACAATCCTTTAATTCTAGCTTAATTCTCATGTCAATCCATCTCTTTCACTTGAATTTTTACATGTACTAGCTCAATTACACAACTAAGGGTTTGATTTCTTACCTTAGATGCTTAATGGTGTTCTAAAGGTTTAATTGCTTGAGTTCCTACAATTCTTCTACCATCTCTTGAGCTCAAACTCTCCCTCTAGGCTTTCATCTTTCTCTCTCCCACATTTTTGCTCTCAAGGAAATGAAGTGAGAGTGTAAAAATGTATTCTAGAGCCCATATATGCCTTATATAGGCTCAATTAAGAAAGCTTAATTAAACTTGGCTTAAACTAAGCAAATTGGCATTAATTATTCTAATTTAATTCATTTCGAATCGAATTTTGATCAAACATACCATAAAATTCTAAAAATCCCAAATAACACATAAATCAAGTCAATTCCGTGTTCCGATGCCGATAAGGCCTTTAATTCGCAAGACAGAATAGAAACACAAACAAATATTCCTATGCAAAACAAATAGAATCTCATATAGCATATAACACATGCAATTAATACAAAATTTCACCTTAATTACTTATTAGGCATTCTAAATCATGGTTTAATAGTTAATCATAGGTCGGGGTTGTTACATAAATGATTGTTGTGGAGAGATCTAAAACCCTAGAGGGGAGAATGAGAGAGAGAGAGAGAGAGAGTGTGTGTGTGTGTGTGTGTGTGTGTGTGTGAGTGCGATATATACGTGTAGATGTAGGGGTGAGGGACCTTAGGCTACAAAAAAAAAAAGTATTGTGAATCTCTCCTATTACTAAAAATTTGAGAGGGATGGTAGACTAAATATCCATTTTTTTGTGATTATTTTTAATCTTTTAAGCAATTTTTTTTACTTTTTAGATATACTCAATATAAATATAATTAAAAAGTACAATATTTATGAAAAAAATGTTTAAAAATTCACCAAATACCAAAAATATTAATAAATATTATGAAAATTCAATACATTTTTTGGGAGAAATTTCAAAACACAGAGAAAATTTCAAAATTTCTTTGGTTTGCTCAATTTTTATGATTTAAAACACAGAAAAAATAATAAAAATTGAGCAAATCAAGGAAATTTTGAAATTTTCTCTGTGTTTTGAAATTTTCCTGGGTTGAATTTTTTTTGATTTGCTCACGATTTTCTTTGTGTTTCGATCAATTTTCTCTGGTTTACTCATAATTTTCTCTGTGTTTTAACCAAACAAGAGAAAATTGTGTCTTTTCACGAAGAAATTTCAAGCAACCTTCAACAAATACATATACAAAAAGAGATTGAGAATTGAAAATGATCTTTATCAAATTTATGCTTGAATTTGAGTTTATCTATTGAGTAGTCAAATTGAGTACAATAACAAACTCATAAATTAGTCACCATAGTGAGATAAGAGCAAATCAAAATCAAAATAAAAAATCATATTCTTTTTTCTTCACCCATTCACACCTTATCTTCTCAGCACCCTTTTCTGTTCTTTCTTATTCTTTCACACCAATCTGTGGAACAACCAGACTTGGATTCTCTCCAGAACACTACACAAGGCAAGGGAAGTCAAGATCACGCTTGCTCTTGGTAATTGTCAATTCTCAAATACTATTGGAAAATTAGTAGATATGAAAATTGGAAAGGGCTTTAAGTGATCATGAAAAATTTGTTGTTTTGTTAGAAGATGTTGATTTTGCTGATACTCAATTCTTGAAATTTCTTGCTGATGGATTCAAAACTAGAAAAATCAAAGAGAATCAAGCAATAATCATTATAACAAAGGGTGATTCAAATTGTACATGCCATGGAGATGATGCAAAAGAGGACCCGAATTTTGTAACCTAGATCAAATTGGAGTTGATTCCCACGTGGCGGTGTGGTCAGCGACGTTGATTCGTCGGAGACCAGTCACGATCCAATAGGCTCAAACTACAATGGCCCGACGTCTAAATAAGTTGAGCAGGCTTCGATGACTTTTGGATCTTCGATGACAGTTGTGGTAGAGGAGGAGGAGAGATAAATGATTGCTATGGAGAGATTTGAAACTTTAGAGGAGAGAGGAAGATAGATGAGAGAGAATAAGAGTGTAGCTGTAATATATGGGTGTGGGTGTGAGAAACCTTACGCTACAAAAAAAATATTATGAATTTCTTCCATTACAAAAAGTTAGAGAGGGATGGTAGACTAAATATCCCTAACTTAACACTAAGACCTATTTTAGGAAATAGGAAAAAAATCAATTTTTGATTTTATTTTTTACTTTTTTTTAAAAAAACGTATAAAAAAATAGGGAGGTGATGTGACACAAATAAACCAATAAGTCAATAAACTGAGTAGTTGTCAAAATAGGCCTAAGTTAATATGTGGTTTAATATTTATTAAATTTTAAAGAAACAAAAATTGTTAGTCATATTTTTTATTTTTCAAAAATTTAGTGAAATAAACCTTTCTTTTAATATTTGACATGAAATCACCAAAAATATCATTTTGTAGATAATTACTATATGATTTAATTTTTGTCATAAACATGATCATGTGTATTTAATTACAATATTTAAAAATTTTTAAAAAAAGAGAGAACATATTCATAAATTTTAAATATAAAAACAATCAATTAAAGTTATCACATTTAGTAAATGTGGAATTTTGACATAAATCATTCTTTTTGTAAAACTATCTAATATGAATCAAACTAAAATAGGTTGGTTCCAACTTTTTGAATTTAAATTTTTGAAAATTGAATTTTTTATTTTTTGTATTTTTTTTGGGAATATTTAGTCTACCATCTCTCTCCAACTTTAGATAATAGGAGAGGTCCACAATATTTTTTTTGTAGCCTAAGGTCCCTTACCCCCACACCCACACTCTCATTCTCTCTTTATCTCTCTCTCTCTCTCTCCTCTAGGGTTTCAGATCTCTTCATAACAATCATATCTCTCTCTTCCTTCACGACTATTGTTTCCAAAGATCCAGAAGTCCTTGAAGCCTGCTCAACCTGTTCGAATGTCAGGCCACTGTGGTTCAGGCCTGTTGGATCGTGCTCGGTCTCCAACGAATCAACGCCACTGACCACACCGCCACGTGAGAATCACCTCCAATTTGATATGAGTTACAAAATTCGAGTCTTCCTTTGCATCATCTGCGTGGCATGTAGAATTTGAATCACCCTTTGTTAGGATGATTATTGCTTGATTCTCTTCGATTTTTCCAATTTCGAACCCATCAACAAGAAATTTCAAGGATTGAATATCAGCAAAATCAACATCTTCTAACAAAACAACAATTTTTTCATGATCACTTAAAGCCCTTTCCAATTTTCCTATCGGCTAATTTTTTAATAAGATCTGAGAATTGACAATTACCAAGAGCAAGCGTGATCTTAACTTCCTTGCCTTGTGTAGTGTTCTGGAGAGAGTCAAAGTTTGGTTGTTCCACAGATTGGTGTGAAAGAAAAAGAAAGAAGAGAAAGAGTGGTGTGAAAATAAGGTTTGAATGGGTGAAAAAAAAAAGAATATGATTTTTTATTTTGATTTTGAGTTGCTCCTACCTTACTATGGTGACTGATTTATAAGTTTGTTATTGTACTCAATTTGACTACTCAATGGACAAACTCAGATTCAAGTATAAATTTGAGTAAGAGCATTTTTAATTTTCAATCTTCTTTTGTGTATGTATTTGTTGAAGGTTGTTTGAAATTTCTCTGTGAAAAGACACAATTTTCTCTAATTTGGTTAAAATACAAAGAAAATTATGAACAAACCAAAGAAAATTGTAAGGAAATCACAGAAAAATTTGTGAGCAAACCAGAGAAAATTTAAAACAGAAAAATTTCAAAACACAGAGAAAATTTTAAAATTTCTCTGGTTTGATCAGTTTTTATGATTTTCTCTATATTTTGAAACTTTCTCTGTGTTTTAAATTATAGAAATTGAGTAAATCAGAGAAATTTTGAAATTTTCTTTGTATTTTGGAATTTCTCAAGTTTGAAATTTCTCTAAAAAAATGTTGAGGGACTCTAACTACTATGAAAATATTATATGTCATTTATCTTATAAAATCTTAATAGCAGGAACCTTTAAAAATTTCCTATACAAAAAATAAAAAAATTAATTTTTAAAAAATTAAAACCTTGGTTGGCAAAGGTTTTTTTTTTTTCTTTTTGGGCTAAAATTCATAAAAAGACAAAAATAAGTTTAAAAAGTTAATAAGACAAAATGTCACATTAAACCTATAATTATTTTACTGTTTCCTTACAAATATCACATTCAATTACAAAAAATCTTACTATTTTTTCAAACACAAATATTTTAGCCTATTAAAATATTTAAAAAATTAAAATAATCTATTAAAATAGTCAACATCCCAAACGAAACCTTTGTGTTCGTTGTTCTAACCTACCCAACTGTAGGTTGGTTGACAATTTAATTGCGGGTCGAACAAAAAGCCCGCATCGAAGAGCAGCAGGGGTGTAAATCTGGCCTGGCCCGACCTGGTCCATGTCAGGCCTCGCGGGCTCCCGCCAAAATTAGGGCAAGGCTGGCTCGCGGGCCAAAAAATTAAGCTCAGGCCCAAGCCCAAGCCAATGGATATTCAAGCCTTGTGCGGGCCAGTGGGCCGGGCCTAATTATTTTTTTTTTGTTTTTTAAATTTTTTTTCTTCTAAAATTTTATTATTTTTTATTGAAAATACACTGGGCCTTGGCACAGGACGGGCTTCGGGCCAGATCCTAAGTGAGCCTTAAGCGAGCCGATGGACTGGGCCGCGAGTCGGGCTAGGTTTCAAAATAATGGCCCAAGCCCTAGTCCTAACCCAGAGACTCAGGCCTGGGCCCAAGCAGTCTAAACAGGCTGGGCCTATCTCGGGCTGCCCACGGCCGTGGACTATTTTTACAACCCTAAAGAGCAGTGATAACATAACCCGGTCGTCATTCGCACGCGCACCATATTACGAGCCGAGTTCATGCACAACGCCAAATGGACGTGAAAACAGTTTGCAAATCTCATTACATTCTGCTCTTCAGATCCAATAAACTATAAAAATCCAACAAAACAGAGCACAATTTTCACCTCTTTTTTTTTTTTTTCATTTCTTTAACCGTTTTATTATTCGTTTCCGCCATTGACGACCTCGGAGAAATTGATAAAAAAGTCATCTTTACTTCACGTTAGCAAAGGTAACATTAATTGCTATATCTATATTTGTAGCTTCTTTTTTATTTTTTATTTTTTATTTTATAACTATGTTGAGTTTCAAATCTTTGAGTGCGTTCTTTGATTACACAATTTGGGTTTAATTCAACGAAAGGGGATGAAATTTCATGTTCAATACTTTCGTTTTCTTTCTTTCTCTGTAATCTGTTGTGAATGGTGAAGTATTGGGGACATTCAACAATAAGTTATTATGGGCATTGCTTTATGGGTTGCAAGTTGTTGTAACTATGAATTGGACCTGAAATGCCTCATGTTCCAATTCCTGTGTTCTGTTAGAAAGTCTATTTTCAGAAACAATTTGAACTCTATTTTTTTTTTCTCTTCCCATTTGGGTTTAATTCAAAGATTAGTGTTGAATAAGAAAACTTAGGGTCCTTCAAGTTGGGTTTTTTGCAATAAGATTTGCCACTAAATAGCGGATTCTAACATTTTTCATAGACGACTCCACTTGAGTGAGACACAAGGCTTAGTTTGATTTGGTTCTCCTATATATATATTTTGGGTACAGATGGGATTTACTTACATACTTGTCCTCATGGACTTTATTGAAATTTGGGTATTTCTTTTGTAATTTTAGTTATAATTTTATTTTTCTCTTCTTGGTGTGAATTGTTTTAAAACACAATTTAGTGCATTAGAAGTTACGCCCTTATAAAATAAGTGCTCCTACTCTAGTGCAGATTAGTCACAAATGTTTTCCATTTCTGATTTTCATAAATTTGAGAGTGCTGCAAAATCCCAAGCCACTCCTACATTCTTCATCCCATTCTATTCTGTACTCTTTCCGAAAATTTTGAGTCGAAAAGAATTTTGGAAGTCGAACTTACCAGCACTGTTTTGCCTTTTTCATATCAATGCAAGAATATTATAGATTACATGATTGCATAGACATATTTAAGCGAATTGAATATAAGTATGTATGTAGGCACTTTTAAGGCTCTGTGATTACGAGGAATTGTACAAAGTTGAAGCATTCAAGAAACTTAGTTGTGATAATTTCTTCTAAAAATGTATTGAGAAATGTAAGCAAGATATAAGCATGCACCTCCTGAATCTGTCTTTCCATACATGTTTTGTACCAACAATATAGTTGGAGCATCTTTAAGGTCTGTCACAAATGTTTATATTTTTTAAGTTTTGGATATGGATTTTATGTGAATGCCTTCTTCGGAGGGGTTAATTTTAAAGATGTTTGATTCACTGTGTGGTTAAGGTGTTTTATATAGAAGAGGATGCTTCATTGCAAGTTTTGAGGGAATAGTGGTTGTTTAGGCAAACTATATTATTGTGATAGTGATTACAAATGCACTGAGATATACTCATTGGTCAAGTATATAAGCCTTATATATATATATACATATATTTCCTTCAATGCATGCATATGATCTAATGAGGAATGTAGTATTCTGTTTTAGATTTGATTGATTTCTGGGGATTGCATTATGGCAGTGTGGAGAGTTTATTTGTGTTCTACCCTATTCATAGCTTTTGTTCCAAGGATATGTTCTTAATTTGTTTCTTCGTCATTTTGATTATTGCAGGGATATATGTCAGTTCCCCTGAGAAAGGACTAGAAGGAATGAGTCATTTTCAGAAGGAACAGAGCCCTTCTTTTGTTGAAGAATTTGACATAAATTTTGTGCTAAATCACAAAGAAAACGCTGAAGATTATATGTATGAAAACTTAGCAAAAGGTAATGAACTTGACGTAGATAATGAACAAGGGCAAGATTGTTCCCCCTCATTGCCTTCTGATTCCAGATATACTGATATTTCTGCATCTCCTTGTGAAAAGTTACATTCACCTGCGCAGACAACTTATAATGATGATGTTTTTATCAGCAAAACGAGAATCATCTATGATCAAGAGAGTTTGCATTCTCCATCTAATGGTAACCATTACCAACTAGAGGCTGAGGAGTTACGTGGCACTAATCTTTGTAAGCCCTCTCAACTAGACGTAGAATGTTTACATCATGAAAATGAAACTGAAGTTCCTACATGTGCATGGGAATCTTATTCAATGGAGGATGCAAATCAAGGAGAAGACATGGAGGATAGCGTAACCTCTCCTTCCCATGACAACATAGTGAAAGAAACCCTTTCAGAGACATTGCTATATGAGTCGACTAAATCTGAATCTGTGTTCAAAGAATTAGAAGAGAAAGTTTCAACTATTCATACAAAAAAGTTGTTTTCGTCTCCAAGGTCACACAGGAGCAGTGATGGAACCAAGAGTGAGAACATTTGCTATTCAAGAAACTCCCCAACTGAAAGGAATCCTGAACTACCTGAATCACCGGCAACAGCAAGACAAAAAACAGTTTCACCGGAAAGGTCTCCTTGTATGTTCCAGTCTCCTAGGGATAAAAGACAATTTGGTTCCGGGAAAGATCTTAAAGATCAGTCATATTCTTCTAGATCACAGAGAGTGAAACATTCTGCTTCACCTGAGAATTCTGGTCTGGGGAAAGAAATTTGTTCCAATGACCATTCACCACGTTCTAATAGGCAGGATTTAGGTTCTCCATTAGAGTCTCGTCAAAGGTCCCGTCTTGTGGATGGTGGTTCATTGAAATGTGTATCTACGTCACCAAGAAATCGTTACTCACCCAAAAAGGACAGGAGAAGGGACAGGTTGGAGTCACCTTCGCCTGTCAGGCGAAGGGATTCTTCTTTTGGATACAAGAGAGATTCCAGTAACAGATCTCGATCAAGGTCCCCACATACAAGAAATCATCACAAAAGGTCCCCGTATACAAGAAATCAGTACAGAAGATTCCCAAGGTGATATTATTAAAATATTTGTTTTTTATTTTATTTCTTGTTTGGTGTTTAAATTTGTTATTTATCAGAATTTCTATGTTCTTATCAATCTTTTGATTCCTTATACCCATGGGTACACAAGGAAAGTTAATAATTTTTATGGCAAAGTTTTAGCTAACTTTTAGAAACTTACTTCCAAGTAATCTCTTATTCATTGAAGACATATGGTGCTTGAGGGACTTTATACGAGGCTTTTATCCTTGAAATCGATGTTTATGCTTAGTATTATTGAAATATTCTATTTCGTCTTGAACTCTTTCTCCCACTCTCTGTTGGATTTTGTTGATGAGGTATCCTTCGTTCTTTTTCTGGTTGTGTGATGGAATTTCAAAATGTGCACTCTCTTCTATTTGGTTTTTGGTAATTGAAATATACATTTTTTTATTCCTCTGCATTCAGGAGGAGGGATTCTCCGAGGCACAAATCTTCCCCTTCACGCTATCCATCTTACCGTAGGTTTCCTAAAAGGAGACCATGGTCACCACCTCATAATAGGAGCACTGGAGTAGGGAAACCTGGGAGAAACCTATTCGTTGCAGGCTTTAGTTTTTTGACTACAGAGAGAGATTTGGAAAAGAAGTTCTCTAGATATGGCCGTGTACGAGATGTTCGCATTGTCCGGGATAAGAGGTAACTGTGCCATGCACTTTTTACTTTCTCTGATCATTTAATAGACACTGTTACTGAGGTCTTATTCTTGTACTAGTCAACTTTATGCTTATATGAAACATGGAACTACAGAACTAGAGCGAATCAGCAAATTTGTTAGAGGAACTTGTTTCTCTTCTCTCTTTTTTTTTATTGCCCTGATTGTTAAAGCATAGTATTTGTTGTTGATATGCAAGGTCGGGTGATTCTCGTGGGTTCGGCTTTCTATCTTTGGAGAGGGATGAAGAAGCTAATGCGGCGATTAGAGCTCTTGACAAGACTGAGTGGAATGGACGGATTGTTCTCGTGGAGAAATCAAAATCTCATTAAAGTTTTATCGATCCTCCAATTAACCCCTTAATTGAACTAGTTACTGATCAATGTGAACAAAACTTTCTTCAGCTGCTCAATTTTGTTCGTTGTTCTCTTAAAAGAACATAGTCCAAGTAAAAGGAATTGACAAATATTACCCAAAGTCTTGAGCACCTCTCCTCTCTCTGGGCTACATTTTGTTACCCATTATTTATACAAGGTTGTGGGATGCTCATAAATAAATGTGAGATCCACTTTTGTCTAGGGTACTAGGAGGATGCGGCAAGAAAACTGGGATGCTAGAATTCTTCATGCTTTTTGAGTAAAGATTAATGTATGATTGATTTGGGCATTACCGTTAACGACAGCCAGTAATTTCTCCTGGTTGTTAGCTTAAATAATCTGCTTATAGTTTATTTTAATGAATATTTGAGATTCGATTTTTTTACTAATTTTTCTGTTGATTTGTTTGTCCTTGCTGAATTTTTTATATGAAAAAATTTAGAACTTTACATTTTGACTTCATTGACTAGACGGGTCGTGAAAAAAAAATGGTTACAAGCTTTTTTATTAGTCTTTTTTTCTAATAATCTTTTGTAAATTTTTTTTTTTTTTTGTCGAATATTTGTTACTTTTTGCATTCATTTATACGAGACGGATTCGAAAAGACAAAAATAAAATAAAAATTGACATGATTGAAAAATATATCATTAAAGACAAAAAAATTTAGTTATATGCCAAGTGCCCCCATATTTTGTGAATCTATGCGAAATTGTTTGATATAATTTTTAATTACACATTATTAAATAGAAATAATTTAAATAAATTCAAAAAATTAAAGTTAAAAAATGGATGTTTTTACTAATCTTGGAGTATCTCTATATGATATTTCAAATATGATGTGATACTTCAACAGTTATATTTTAACATTAAGGTCAAGTTTGGTATCTCTCCAAAAAGACAAAAAGTCAAAAAATTATTCAAAAAGTTAAAAAAGTATCACTATTTACCAAAAAAAAAATTAAAAATTAATTTTCCACACATCCATACAACTCAGCAATCATGTATATTGTACGGTTGTGCAGTGTTTATTAAGAAAAGTAGCACATTTTGGGTGTAATTTTCACACACAGTTGTTCGGCCCGTGGAGGCCCATCACGGGTCCCGTTTTGATAATCTGAACCGTTCAATGTATAAAACTCGTCGAGTAATATGTTTGTATAAAATCACATTGATCGAATATCGATAACTACATGATTAAATCAGTTTTGTATAAAAAAATGAATGGTGTTATAATTAACGATTGAAAAAAAAACTAATCTGATCAGATAACTATCGATATCCGATCAACGCGATTTTTTATAAGCATATAGTACTCGACGAGTTCTACACATTGAACGGTTCAGATTATCAAAATGAGACCTGTGAGGGCCCCCACGGGCCGAACAAAACCTTTCAGTGCAATGCCCGAAAAATAACCAATAATTTCTTACCATCAATTCAACCCCTCGGATTGTATGGCTGTACAACATACATTTCTAATATTCTTCTACACATATCTTTATACAATTTTTTAATACACATTTTTCCATAAAAAGTCAAAAAATTAACCCAAATATTCATATTTTTTTCCTAACTTTTTAATCTAAAAAGACAAAAAGTACACTTATTTAAGACACCCCAAACAACCCCTAAGTATCAATTCCACTCGGTGTGCCAAAAGTTGATGTGACATCTGATATCACATTTTCATGCCAATTTTGACATGTTCATGTTTCATACTTTCTTTTTTTTAAAAAAAAAAAAAAAATTTATGTGAAATAAAAGAGTTCAAATTTAAAAAATAATAAAATAATAGATTTAACAAATCAGGTGAAGAAATTCCCTGTCAAATTGACATATGCCAATTTACCACTTGAGCCTTCAAAATAAATTATCTTATCAAATTCAAAAATTTGGATGGAGATGCTCTCAGATCACATTTTAGCCACATTTTAAAAAAATAATAAATAAAAACAAGTCTCATGCATGCTAAAGGCGAGTCTTGTTATTTATTTCTCCAAAATAAATATATTAAAAAAAAAACAGTTTCTCACAAACAACATATTATAAAATTCTTTTACTCGACAATTAAGCACCAGTTGGATAACTTGGTTTCTCTTTCAATAGACAATGATATATCATGTGAAAAATAAAAATAGTGTCTGATATTCCAGTTGGGATACATGCATGTGAAAATAAATAACAGGCATGTCTTACCAATAGATATATCATGAACTACATACATTACACAAAATCAAAAAAATGTTTTTAAAAAATGGCGATATCCATTAATTACTTCAGCCATGATACAGCAAAACATAATTTTTAAATGTAGCAGCTAATAGAATGATAACATTTAGGTACTTGGGTGATCTGGCAATCCTTTTAGGTCCATTTCAACTTGGCGAATCGTCCATTGCATATTTTCCAATTTCTGTTTGTGACAAAATGAAATCAGAGTTAAACCCAATATCTGAATAAGAATGATCTAAATACAAAACAATATTACCTTTACTATGTCATGGTACTGCCTTGCAATCGTATCAAAGTGGGTATCAACACCTTGGTATTCATGAAGGCGGGTGACCTAGTTAAAACTCGAAGCATTAGAAGTGTTATAACAACACACATGAGTGCACACACACAGCATGCCTTACAGTAAATGTAATTAAAATAGTACTGTCTCTATAAAATATTGATCAGCATTTGTAGCCATAGCACAGAAATTTGAATTGAAAAGAAAAGAAAAGAGGGAAAGATTGTAACTGGGGTAACTCAAAGCAACAGTAAAATCCTGAAAGTGGTATGGATTTTCTCATTTACTAGAAGCAAAAACAATAAAAAGTCAAAAGAAATGAAGTTTAACATGGCTAAGCATAAAAAAAATGACATGGGATAATTGGCCGATTGGAAAATTGTCAACCATTGTTTCCAGATCCAAACCAGGCAAGTAATGTGATTAAAGTACAGAGGAAAAAACATAATACTTCCACCATCACTGCCTTAAGATACTACCATTTAAATGTTCCATATACACCCATTAACTATCATCAAATAAAAAATCACACAAAGACAGAAAGAAAAAAAGAAAAAAAGAGAAAAGAAGAGAAACATAACACATTTGGTACGCAAGAATGCTATGATATATAAGAAAACATACTGCTTTATTGTATGCAAGTGAAGCTTCCTCTATAGCCTCAACCAGATATTTCCTGAAACAAACGATAAACCAATCAAAAACCCTTTTTGAACAATTAACTTGATACAAATTTGATACGATCATTTGTTACCTTACTTTACAGAGAGCTGGAATTGATTCTCGAGTATAAGTCTCAAGCAAAAGAATATGCTCTAGAACCCTAAGTCAACAATGTAACATATCAGAGGCCACAGAATATAGTGAGCAAAATTTTCCATCAGATATAAATTGTCCAGGATTTACTACAAGGTTTAAAAATGAGGCAACTGACAAGAGGTTTAATTGCTAGTGGTAAGAGAAAATACTATAACATTTGCAAAAAAATAACAATGAGAACAATTCGTGGCTGTGTGTTCTACAAAGGAAAAACATACTATAAAGGATCATCATGTGCAACTCTCACAAAAAATGATAGAAGACTTGCTTCAATTCAGAACTATAACAACGGCTTCAAAAATTAACCAAATTGAACTGCAATATCTCACAATAATAACCCATTCTGCATAGCATGATCCAACAACTGTTGTTTGGAATTCATAATCACTAAAATTTGGTCACTTGAAATGCACACAAAACAAAACATAATACGAATAAGGAGAAAAAAAAACAGCGACCTTCACACATAGAAGAAGTTACCAGGCTACCATAAATATATAAATTTGTGTATGAGTAGAATGATGAGAGCGCAGTGTATTAATTCACAACTCTAGCACCAAGTAAAATGGACATTAAAGTTAAGAATGGACAGTCTGCATTAGTAGACAATTTAAAGTTAATAATTGGAGTTTTGAAAGATTAAGGGTGTGTTTGGTTTGGTTTTGGGAGATAAATTTTTTTTAAAAAATCTTGGGGAAAAATTGAAAAAAGAGTTTAGAAAATTTTTTGGTTTGTTTAGTCATATATTTTGGAAATAGTTTTGGAGTATGAGAGTTTGGAATAATTTGATATTTTGTTGTAGTTGAGTAGATGTGTGTGAGAGAAAAAGTGATTGAGAAGGAGAGAGGAGAAAGAAAAAGTGATTGATTGATGTGTAGGGGAGAGAAAGTGATTTTAGAAATTTTTTTCAAAAAGTTTCCAACCAAACAAGGCCTAAAACTCCAAACTTCAACATTTTCTGTTTTTCCACTGCAACGCGCTGCTTGTCATGCTAGCCCTAGAAGAATCTCCTTGAGTTGTTCTTAATGTTCTCTAAACTCAGTGTGAATGATTCAAAGGCTAAGCAGCATTAATGGTTTAAAGAAAGAAGCAGAAAACAGTAGTAGGTGAGACAAACCTCAATTTTGCATTCATTGTCTCACACCTTTTGCACAACCAAGTTTTTTGCAGTTCATCCTATTAAACATTTAAATAAATTAGTTCAAATATACTCCCAAGAAGGAAAAGAACATTATTGCATGGAAAGGGAATTAACATAATACTGTTGCATACATTTATTCAGTAAAATGTTTCAAATAACCAAGAAATAGCGAGCTTACATATTTATGTTGATGTTGCAACTTCAAATCTTTAACAAGCTTGATGAGCACACCAAGTATCTGCTCCAAGACCTTGCGAAGACAAAATGGTTTACAAGTCACGTATGCATAGTATAGAGCACATGCTCCATACTTGTGACAATGGAATTGTAGTAGAAGGTAAAACTTTGATAATAACAAAAATAAGAATTAGAACAGTCGAAAGTTATAATACAAAACTCATATTCACATACACTGTAATATTCTGCAAATTTTCTGTCTGCAGAATACAAATCCTCCCTCAGAGCTGCCTCTTCCCTCTCAATCTCCTCAATAATTAACTTTACCCTGTTTAGATGATCAGAGAGAAGCACACAAGCTACAGGGAAATGAACTCCTCAGAAAGTCGTTTCTGATTATTAAAGTACACACAAAGCAATTGATATATGGCTGCTTTAGGTAGTTTGGAAAAGTAGGTATAGACAGTTTCAAGAAAGAATAACCACCTCGACATCTAAAGAAAACTTTCATAGTTCATGTTTTTAAGAAGAAAAATAAGAAAGGGGGAAAAAATCTCTTCCATCTTGAAGGGTAAGATTTGAGACTCATGAGTCTATGAGTATCCATTTTGCACTGAAACGACAGAATAGGAAAAACAGTAGTAACCGTTTCCAGAACAAGAAGATCTGAGTGAATAAAATTCAAGAACAATTTTTGTAATGCTCTCCACTCAAATGAAAAACTTGAAAAAGAGAAAATAATTGGTAAAAGAAGGATAAAAAAATGAAGAAACAACTTTAAAGCCTAAAATTTTTAAAGTGTCACTTTGCACAAACTGATATACAAAAGTTTCAAATCATGTTCAGCTAAATGGCAACAAGCATACACAACATGGTACCATCATGACAAGCATATAGACCATACCACTTTGTATTGAAATTCCAAACAATAAAAAAAAAGTATATCATCATCGCCTTGACATTCAGAACAGACCTTGCACCATTAATAATGACACAAAATGAAAAAATAACACAAACCTTTCTGGAAGCCGAGCACTTGAATTTTGATTACCAGATGACATGTCTGCAACACCAAACAAGGGGTAATATTATGCACATAATATCTCTTCATCTGTGCACAGAGAGAATAGAGAGTATTTACGACTAACCAATATCATCCATCACAAAGGCATCTGCTAACTTATCACATTTAGCTTTTAAACGACCATCAATTTCACGGAAAAGTGGCATCTGGTACTCGGCCATGCCCTACAATTAAAAGGAAACTATAAGATATATATAGTTTTTCTATATCAACATTATTAAAGGGTTTACTCATAAGAACCGGAAGAGAGAAATAAAAATTGATATAAATATGGATCATAACTGTGAACAACAATCTAAACCACAACACATACATTTTGTATTAAAAAAAAAACAAATATCTTTTAAAAATACATGATAATTTGTCTAAAACATGTTTTATCCTATCACCATATAAAGAATTATACTATGGATAATGGTGCTTGTTGGAGCTGAGTTTGCCATAAATAAGCAGGCGTTATTCCAAGGTATCTACAAGGAACACCACCAACTCCAGGTTCAGCTGCATCAGTAGTGCTGCTAGAGAGTGCATTAGTTGCACCACCAGTGGTGCTAATTGCAGAAATATTTGTGTAATTTGTAGAGTTTGAGCTTGAGGTAATTGTGACACTGGTACTGGTACTGGTACTATCAAGGGAGCTTCTTGACTTTATACTCCATTTTTCAATTTCTTCTTCATGAATCTCACCATCTTTGGAAATCAGAGGTAGCCTCAATTTTTGAGCTGCTTCTGCAACAACGAGCCGGTGCTCAAGTGCCTCGTAAACCTGAAATATCTTGTCAACTTAAGACAACTAAAATTCCAAAAGAACAAGATCAACACTGCATTCAGAAAGAAAGCAACATTTTATTTTCAAATTCCTATTAAAGCATAGTTTTATGCAATTTGTTCTGATAACTATATGTTTTAACAAAACCCTAATAATCAGTCTCTTTATAATCAAATACCAAGACAAGGATTCTGCTTGAGCTTAGCCTGTGAATCTATTATTACACACATACATTGTAAGACACAACCAAAATTCAAAATGTGATTATGTACTTCAAAACCAATTTGTTCGGATGCAAGAATATGTAAAATGATACCACAAAATTACCATTCTATTCCACAAAACCCTAATTAAGGCAAAAGACCACAAACTACTTGAAATGTGAAATTTTGAAACCTGAGGAGAGTTCTTCAAACCAAGTTGAGGGTACAGACCGTGGACGTCTCGAATACCTACAAGTGAAGCCACTGAAACAGCCTGTTGATAATCTTCCACCATTGCAATTGCCTCACAGTAAATAGCCTAAAAATATACATGAACAAACATAAGAATCTCTTAAATTCCCCGATTCACACTTACATATATAAAACCCTAGACAACATCCTAATTCCAAAGAAATCTATTTAAACAAATTAATAAAATACCGTGGCTTCCAAGTAACGCAATCTCTCTCTCGACATTTCCTCTCTCGCCTGCAACACCAATCAGCCCATAAATGTGTGTATATATATACATACATACAGATAAACATGATATGAGAGAGAGAGAGAGAGAGAGTACGAGTTGGAGATCGTCGTAGGAAGATTTGGAGAGGAGAGCTCCATCGGGAGACAAGCAATGGCGGTCCAATTGATCGATGAGTTGAGTCACGTCTGCAGGAAGGTTTTGGCCACCCCCAACTGTTGTTCCTTTCGCCATTTTTGTATCTTTGAATTTTGAAGAGAGAAATTTCTCTCTCTCTCTCACTGGAATTCAAAATTTGCTCGAAGACGAAGAAGACATTTTTGCTTGCCCAATGCCCAGTTCGCTGGCACAGAAAGGGTAGTCGGTCGGTGGTGGTGAGTTAAAATTAAAATTATGTAAAAAAATATATTAATATTAAAAAATAAAAAAATAAAAGAAAATTTGTTTTCGGAAAACATCCTATTTTAGAAAGAGCAAATTTCACTATACCCTCTTATGATTTTAGCCATTTACAGATTACCTCCGTGACATTTGAATATCACCACATAACCGTTCTGTAATTGATGGATTAAAACGCACACGGCCTCGTTTGGGAACATGCTAATTTAGTAACTTTTTGGCTATTTGGCTAAAATATGAGCTAAAAAAAATTAGCATGTTTGTGATGACTTTTTGGCTTTTTACGAAAAGATGTGCAAAAAGTAAAGAGAAAAGAGAATCTTTGACTTTTTGGTATGGGTTGTTAGCTTTTTGGCTAATTTAGTAACTTTTTGACTTTTTGGCTAAAATGGAAGGTTCCCAAACGAGGCCTAACTTTTGTTAACTGAAGTTGTAAATTGACAATTATACCTTCTGTATGGGGAGCAACTATTCCGCAGAGCCCGTACTCCTTTCGTCCAAGCTCCTTGTCTATCCGATCGACCTGCGAGCACAACGACGGTGAGCTACTCGGCGGTGTGTGGCCAGAAAACCCCTCTGACAGTCAAGTTAGTACATACACTTAGAGAGAGAGAGAAGCTGAATGAATGTAAGTTTATCTCACCAAATGATATTCCATCCTCAGCATGGGGGGCGCAGTCATGCTTTTATACTTTCTGCGCTCAACTCTACACCCATGAGTCTCTTTATATGTGGAGCTGCTCTCCCATATGTCAGCACAAATCCAGCGAACACCACCTAACCAAACTGCCAGACAACATTAGCGGGAACTCGGCAGCCCGACGGCATCATCCGGGCCTCCTTCGACAGAGCTACTTAATGAGTCTAACAGTGCCACTCGCCGAGCTCCATCACAACCAAGCTCGATAGCATTCCAGTACGGCTGAGCTCCAGACAGGTTAGGCTGGTCCGTGAGAGACCTTTCTGTCGAGCTACATGCGCGAACAATAAGCTTGGGTTAACAGACGATCATCTCAGCCAAATGGGCCCTGGACCTCAACCGAGCAATCCACTCTAGCTTAGCCAACGTTAGCTCAGCCCAAACACACTCGGACCTCTTTTTAGCCAGGTCATTACCACGACCCAAAGCTAGATTATAAAATCTCACTCACAATTGCCCCTTAATTCTGTCCGCATTTGCGTGACCGGAATTACATTACAAGGCCGGGCTAAACTTTTCGCTCGGTGGTTCACTTTGCTCGGTCAGCGAGCAAGGTCAGCTTAGCGACTTTCTTCTTGGTGAGCAAGATCAGCTTGGCAAGGAACTCCAAGGTCGGCGAGCAAGGTCTGCTTGGCGACTTGCTTCTTGGCAAGCAAGATCAGATCGGCAAGGAACTCAAAGGTCGACGAGCAAGGTCCGCTCGGTGACTTGCTTCTTGGCGAGCAAGATCAGCTCGGCATGAAACTCCATAGTCGCCGAGCAAGGTCCGCTCGGCGACTTGCCTCTTGGCGAGCAAGATCAGCTCGACAAGAAACTCCATGGTCGACGAACAAGGTTCGCTCCGCGACTTATGACTTGGCGAGCAAGATCAGCTCAGCAAGGAACTCCAAGGTCGGCGAGCAACGTTCGCTCGGCGACTTGCGTCTTGGCGAGCAAGATCAGCTCGACAAGGAACTCAAAGGTCGGTGAGCAAGGTCTACTCGGCGATTTGCTTCTTGGCGAGCAAGATCAGCTCGGCAAAGAACTCTAAGGTCGGCGAGCAGGGTCTGCTCAGCGACTTACGTCTTGGTGAGCAAGATTAGCTTGGCAAGGAACTCCATAGTCGCCGAGCAAGGTCTGCTTGGTGACTTGTCTCTTGGCGAGCAAGATCTACTCGGCAAAGAACTCCATGGTCGACGAGCAAGGTCCGCTCCGCGACTTCTGTCTTGGCGAGCAAGATCAGCTTGGCAAGGAACTCCAAGGTCGGCGAGCAAGATCCACTCGGCGACTTACGTCTTGGCGAGTAAGATCAGCTCGGCAAGGAACTCCAAGGTCGGCGAGCAAGGTCCACTCAGCGACTTACGTCTTGGCGAGTAAGATCAGCTCGGCAAGGAACTCCAAGGTCGGCGAGCAAGGTCTGCTCGGTGACTTGCTTCTTGGCGAGCAAGATCAGCTCGACAAGGAACTCAAAGGTCGGCGAGCAAGGTCCGCTCGACGACTTGTTTCTTGGCGAGCAAGATCAGCTTGGCAAGGAAATCAAGGGTCGACGCGTAAGGTCCGCTCGGCGACTTGCGTCTTGGCGAGCAAAATCAGCTCGGTAAGGAACTCCATGGTCGCCGAGCAAGGTCCGCTCGGCGACTTGCCTCTTGGCCAACAAGATCAGCTCGGCAAGGAACTCAAAGGTCGGCGAGCAAGGTCCGCTCAATGACTTGCTTCTTGGCGAGCAAGATCAGCTCGGCAAGGAACTCAAAGGTCGGCGAGCAAGGTCCGCTCGGTGACTTGCTTCTTGGCGAGCAAGATCAGCACGGCAAGGAACTCAAATGTTGGCGAGCAAGGTCCGCTCGACGACTTACTTCTTGGTGAGTAAGATCAGCTCGGCAAGGAACTCAAAGGTCGGTGAGCAAGGTCCGCTCGGTGACTTATTTCTTGGCGAGCAAGATCAGCTCGGCAAGGAACTCCAATATCGGCGAGCAAGGTCCACTTGGCGACTTGCTTCTTGGCGAGCAAGATCAGCTCGGCAAGGAACTTCATGGTCGCAGAGCAAGGTCCGCTCGGCGACTTGCCTCTTAGCGAGCAAGATCAGCTCCGCAAGGAACTCCATGGTCGACGAGCAAGGTCTGCTCGGTGACTTACGTCTTAGCGAGCAAGATCAGCTCAGCAAGGAACTCCAAGGTCGGCGAGCAAGGTCCGCTCGGCGACTTACCTCTTGGCGAGCAAGATCAGCTCGGCAAGGAACTCCAAGGTCGGTGAGCAAGGTCCGCTCGGCGACTTACCTCTTGGCGAGCAAGATCAGCTCAGCAAGAAACTCCAAGGTCGGCGAGCAAGGTCCGTTCGGCGACTTACTTCTTGACGAGCAAGATCAGTTCGGCAAGGAACTCAAAGGTAGGCGAGCAAGGTCCGCTCGGCGACTTACTTCTTGGCGAGCAAGATCAGCTCGGCAAGGAACTCCAAGGTCAGCGAGCAAGGTCCGCTCGGTGACTTACTTCTTGGCGAGCAAGATCAGCTCGGCAAAGAACTCCAAGGTCGGCGAGCAAGGTCCACTCGGTGACTTGCCTCTTGGCGAGTAAGATCAACTCGGCAAGGAACTCCAAGGTCAGCGAGCAAGGTCCGCTCGGTGACTTGCTTCTTGGCGAGCAAGATCAGCTCGGCAAGGAACTCCAAAGTTGATTAAAACCATCAACAAACCTCTTGCCGAGTAAAATCCATCCGGTAAGGAATTCCAAAGTTCATAAAATCATCAACAGACCTCTTGCCGAGTAAAACCTGTCTGGCAAGGAATTCCAAAGTTGATAAAAGCCATCAACAAACCTCTTGCCGAGCAAAATTCTCCCGGCAAGGAATTTAGATCTTTCCATCCAAATGATTGTTAGTTGCCCCTTGGACAGCACTAAATCCGCTTGGCGAGGCAAAAATACAACAATTTTCAAGAAAATAGTCTACTTGTTTCATTGCGCCATTGGCATACAAAAACAGAACTAAGAACAAAACTTTAGATTGGTAGAGTTCGATGTTCTGGAAATGGATCGGCCATTCACATTCTGCTAGTTTTATGCCCCTTTTCCTCGGCCTTCTTATAGACGTCTTCCTAAAACCGAACTCCCTATATCTCTTCCATGGCAGTTTGCATGGCCATCATCTTGTCCGACTGCATGAACCTTTCGCACTACTCTCTTATTCTCTACTACCGGACTTGTCGTCACGGTAGCTGCGGCTGCATCGTCTTCGACTCGGATGTGGTCATTGATGCGCTGCATTAGTTGGCCCATGGATGTCGTCTGGTTCTTGGTAAGCGAGTCCCGCAGCCTATGTCCGACCAGGAGACCGCGCTTATATTGGGTGACTGCCAGGTTGATCGGGCAATCTAAAATCTCATTGAAGGTTTCCCAGTATCTGGAGTTGTATGCCTTGAGTGTGTCGCTCGACTCCATTTTGACACTGAGAAGGTGGTCCACCTCCTTTGGCGTTTTAGTGTTGGTCTTGAAACAAGTCACAAAGGCTTCCGCCAACTGCTGCCACCTTTCGATGCTTCCCTTCGGCAGCCTCTCAAACCATTTCAAGTCCAGCTCGGCCAAACTCGACGGGAAGATAAGGCACATGAGAGCGTCATTGCATCTATGTCCGGCCATGACCTGCCAGAAGTGGCTTACGTGCATTTATGGATCGGTCTTTCCGTCGTAGAGCATAAACTTGGGCTGGTGAAAGCCCGCGGGGAGTGGTGTGGTTTCTATCTCAAGGGAGAAGGGGGTAACGTTCAGCCTCACCAAATCTGTGTCTAGAGGGACAGGCATGGCCGAGCGGGGTGGCGGCATTATGACCTCCTCACTGGCGTGACCCCCGTAAGATAGCCGCTGGAGCGCCAGCACCCTTTCGCCCTCCCGTCAGTGAGCTCGCTCCTTTAGGACATCCCTTAAGTCCCCTAAACGGAGGGATTAAGAATATCCCGAAGTGGTCGCCGGACGTAAGGGATGATAGGTACTATCTTGCGCGCTAAACTTCTCCGCAGGCGTGTCTAGGTCTTCACTCCTATAGCTTCTGGTGATAGAAAGGGAGGAAGTGCGCCACTGGCTCTAGCTGCCTGAACGGCGGGGTTGGATGCGCTCACTGTGGTCTCCCACCCTAGCAACACCCTTCCCTTTGACCTGGCGTTTGAGAGCTTCCATCTCAGCCGCCATTCTCTGGATGACAGTGTCTTGGTCCCTTAACTTGTGCTCCAAACGTCTAGCGTGCGATTCTCTTCGCCGCCAGTGTCCGTCTGGGCTCCGTGAATGACCAAAACTTCTACCGTGCTTGTCTCGCGCATCTCTTGA